AAGAAAGAAAGAAAGAAAGAAAGAAAGAAAGAAAGAAAGAAAGAAAGAAAACACATGGCCGGCATGCCACCACCACCAATCACATGGCCAGCAAGCCACTCCCACAAAGGAGGCCACACCCACAGAGTAGGTTCCAAATTTTTTTGAAACCCACCACTGGCCCAAACCCAATCACAAGTCCCTTCCCAGGCAGCCTGAACCAGCCAGGAGAAACACGGAGCCCCTACAGAGGTGGACAAGCAAAGGTGAGGTGGCATTAAACACTTCACAGGTAACTATGCAAGATTTAGCCCCGGCATCCTCTGCTGAGGTTGCTTCAAGGCTGGAGCCCAACACAGAGTAAATCCACGTGATTTTATCTGTCAGATGCCCAGGACGGTCCTCACAACCACGTAGCTGAACTCCAGAAGTACCACTTCCTAAGACAGTCCGGCCATTTCCGGGATTCGGGAGCGGGACTTCCGCTCTCGGTCCCCCGTTACTCCCCGTTTTTGCCGGCGCCGACGGAGCCTGACCTGCCGCCGGCGGAAGCCGGGAGAATCACGGCCGGAAGTTTTCCCGCCGCGACCCGGAAGCGACCTCTTAGGATTTTGACTTTAACCAAAAGCTGCATAGCGCTAAACTAACATAATCTATATTAAAGCTAATCACTATGCCGGCAGCCCCATTCTTAAAGCTTAAGAGCTAAAAGAATATAATGATTAATTGCAATAGGTTTCATTTTGAGTGCCACGTTACATTTCCCCATCTTATCCCTATTAAAATCCTGACTTTCTCTAGAGCAGGGGTCCCCAAACTTGCCAACTTTAAGACTTGTGGACTTCAACTCCCAGAATTCTCCAGCAAGCCCAGCTAGCTGGAGAACTCTGGGAGTTGAAGTCCACAAGTCTTAAAGTTGGCAAGTTTGAAGACCTCTGCCTTAGAGAGTCTATCTGGAACAGTGTTTATTAACCTTAGCGTCGACCTGCATGGTATTGTGACAGTTAAAAGTCCCAAACATCCTAAAACTGATAAGGTTGAGAAACATTGCGTAGAGAAGCCCCTCGCACTCGGAATAGAGATAATCTAATCTCAAACGGAGACGAACGCTGTTTGCCATATATCTATATCAGTCAACGCTTGACGGCTTTCCATTGGCTTGGAGGCATCACCACATAGCCTGGCGTCCGTCGTGCGTTGATGACATAGACGACTGTGCTTGGGGGAGTTGTTTGTGACGTGGCAGAAGGCGGAAGCGATGTTGCGGCAGGTGGGATCTCAGGGGCTATTATTTCCTAGCGCGGGCCCGGGACGCCGAGTGGGTTGCTTGCATCGGGACTGAAGGGACTTTTTAATATTGGAGAGGGAGGTGAGCTGGAAGGGGACCTGGTGGAGGACTTCCAAACCAAGGTCGTGGCTGCGGGAAATGAGTACATGGCGATGAAGCCTACCCTAAGCTTGCACAAGTTGTAGCTGTTTTGTTAGAAGAAGAAGAAGGGCTTGGTTCTTGCCCTCATCTTCCTTCCTTATCCCGCGATGATGACCGGGCTTATGCCCGCAAAGCATTTCTTCCCTCCTATCCCCAATTGTTAAATGTGTTTGTATATTGCTTTTAATTTGGGATGGGGGAGCTCCCAGGCAATTAAAATGTGGGTATAATTGGAATGAAACTGTGAATTGTCGAAATAAAATCCTCTGGTGAACTCTAGCAAATTATGAAGACTGAGACTTGCGGGGTGCGAAAATTCCAGGTCGGCAAGGCGGCAGCATACAGCAAACTCTTTTAAAGATTGCTGGTGCTTACTGGTCATTTTTAACTCAAATATAGTAAGGTGGCCTTAACATATTGCATGAACAGCAGGTTCATGGCAGTATTATATGCCTGTGAATTGGAATACATGACATTAAGTTTAGAATTGTTTTGTTTAGTTATGCAACTAAGTGTATTTCCCACTGGTAATTTATAATGTCTTCTAGAAGTCATCCCATAATAAATTTGAAATATCAGTAATGAGTATGGATTTATATTTCTTCAAAATTGGGTGGATGGCCCTGAAGTCTTATAATTCATTAGTGAGGAAATGAA